AATTATGCCAGTGAAAAGAAAACTGTTTTCTTAATTATCTCAACCCATTCTAACCCCAACAGTCTTTTCTTCTTTTTTTTAATGAGGCTCAACCTGTGGAGTTTATTGTGTGTATATTTTCTGAGAAAGGGGAAGGAGAAAGATTGGGGTTTTTTATTATGTGATGAAAATAATGGAGTGTGAGGGGTTGTGGTTTTTGCTGGTTTTTTGGGGGGTGGGGGGGGGGGAATGTAAGGATGCATGCAACAAAGTATGTCCTAAAGGACAGAATGAAATTGCTCACAGAGAGATTTTTCTTGATAATCTTTTTTTTTCCAGGTTGCAACTATATTGGGTCATATACTCAGTTTCTGTAAGTCAGCATAACTTCACTGAAACACTTATTCCAACAGGACATCACTGTTTTACAGTAGCTAAAAGCCTAGACAAAAATCTTGCAGAAACAAAACATCCACGTAAAATAACTCTACTCTTCACTCCTAGCAAAGCCTCTATTATAGGTTCCCTGAATACATGGTAGGATGTCAATACCTCTTTGCCTTCCTCATTCATGAAAGACCGTTATTTTTTATGCAGTTTACTTTTAGTGAACAGACTTGAGGCAATTAACTTTGGAACCAATTTGATAAACAACCTTATCCTTCATCGTCTTCCTACTGAAGTTATCTTTTTCCTGTTTCACATGACATTGGTAGGAGATGCACCATGTCAATCCCACCTGTTCACTTCCTTAGACACAAAACCTCTGAGATTCAGAAAGATATATTAGAAGGGAATTTTAAAGTAACAGTGACAGCAGTTTCTGCAATGGTAGAAAAAAAAAGAAGTGTGAAACAGGCAGAAACTAGTTTGATTTTTTTTTTTTCCAGGAAGCTACAAACAGACTGTTCAAGTGACTGGCTGAAGTCACAGAGTGCTAAACATTGATCCCTAGCAAAGAAAAACCTCACTTACTATGTTAAAACCCACTTTTTCTTGTGTCTCTCTAGAAAGCACAAATGAGTTATTAGAAATAGCACAGCTCTCCACGGCAAGAACAAAGAGTACCAGGCGTTGCTCCTCAGCATCTGATTTTCTTCTCTTGGAAGCATTTGATGCAGATCTGAAAGCTCCCAGCTCAATTTGGGATGTTCTTTGTTTCAAGAATCTGTTGTATATTGTATTATTCACTGGTGGGTTTTTTTGTAATGCCAGGCACAATGCAATGAGGTTATTTCACATTCACATGAAAGCAACAGAAGCGAACTTTGCCTTTTAAGCTCTTGCTTTATTGCTGCGAAGGTGTGTTTTGAAGTGATTACTCAAATATGAATCAAAGAAAAAAGTATGCTGGGCACTGGAGCTAATGAACATAAGTCCACAAGGTGGTACAGCAAAATGAGGATTCTGATTTATACATATTTATAGTGTTGCTAGCTGTACTTCTGACTCCAAGTGCCTAGTGTGCCTCAGAGTCATGACTCTTCAAGTTAAAATAAATGTTAAAAAAAATAAAATAGAAAAAAATCTTTGCTACTTTTCAACCATGCACAACTGGTTGCACACAGCACAAGCAGGAAAGGTTCCATCCAAGGCTCTACAGAATGGTCTTGGAAGACAAATAACAGATTGAAAAAGATAAGTCAATTCTTTTGACAGAAGTAATACATATAAAAAGAGTAAAAAAGAGCCTCAGTTACAGGCCACCAAAAGCAAGGGAGCCTAGATTACCATGGATTGTTACAAATATAAGTCTGCCATCAACTCACAAATAAACTTGGAAGGAGTTTGCGTTGAGTTTTAGTATATTGACTTTATCTTTTAACAGTGTTTTAGGGAAAAAGGAAAATATTAATTTACCTATTCATTCTCATTGTCAAACATTGAAATTAGAGCCTTTCACTGCAACATTTTCCAGTGTTGGACATTTTCATATATTCCAGTGACTTTTAAGAAGTGTTGTTATCTTTCCATAACAGCTGTCCCCCTTCCTTAAGGTATGTATATTATGTACTTGACTAACTGAAAGGGAGACTTGTATGCAGCAGTTTGTACATAATCCAACATTTCAGCATTTTCATAGTTTGCTGGAGGCATAGCTCAACTCAATTGCATTTCCAGTGAGACTGATGTAGTTGAAACTAGGGAGATATTATGAGCCTAACTGCTGTAATACAGCACCATTGTCCCAATCTGTTTGAATCTATAGTTTCACTAAGTGAGAAGCAAAGAGGCTACATTATGCATACAACATGGTCACGATATGTACAGTGAGGAATTTTTGTGTGGGAGGCCTTTGTCATAAAGTGAAAGAGATGCTTTGAATATCAGATAATCTAAGGAAAATATGTGGTGACACAGCAGGAAACATCCTCTTAACTAACAGTGGAGAGAGAAGAAAAAGAGACAGTGTTGCACCTAATGGCTAAAATATCTGATTTGCCTACAATAGTAGACTTGCCTTTTCATTTCATTTTATTTTCATTTTTATTGAATTTCAATGTACAACTGTTTTTAGAACCATCCAAATGCCTAAATACTTAAAAGTTAAAACTTTATTTTTAAAAACCGTGAAGAATTGAAATTTACAACTTATATTCTTAGTGCTTTGAGCATTTAAAATAATCTTGACATCCTTTCTCCAAGAACTCCAGTGTGCCAGTTTTCTACTAGAAAAACCCCTGTCAATCTATAATTAATGTGGGAGATCCTATGGCAATTGGCTTGTACTATTTCCAGCATTATTTTATTTAACCTTACTTCAGTCATTCCATGATCAAAAAATATCCATCTTAGCAAGAAAAATCTGTTTTCAGAGCTTCAGAATTTCTAATATTATCCAGGTATACCACAGTTACAGAGTGGTAGACAAGATATCTCCCATGGGTTCAGTTCTGTTGTACTTAATCATGCAGGGGCCAATGGTATCCTTAGTATGCATCAGAAATGTGGATAAATACCACTGGCAGTACTAATGCATCTAGATTTATACATACTGCTGACAACAGAATTAGAAAACAAACTTTTTTCTGAGATTGTTTAAATTCAATTTATCAAAGCAGACATTTTCGCTCCCTCTGATCATCCAATCTCACTGATGTTTCTCAAGAAGACAATTTATGTTATTATTCTCATGCTTAAAACTTCCAGCAACTCAGTAAATATCCATTCCTTCGGTGATAAATTGTGTTAAGAAGCACGGTAATATCAAAAACTATTCCCAATACCACGATGTTTCATCAGAAAATAATTGTTTCATTTTTCTTACCAAAATAATCAAGAGAAAACAAAGAAAGTAAACATACTAAGGAATGCAAAATGTAAAGGTCATGCAGCCTAGCACACATGGTTAAAAAGTTATGATGGAAATGTAAACTGGAGGAGATATATTCACTGCAGGAAATTCACAAATAAACAGTGACTGCTCCCTACTTCAGACAAGTACAAGGCAAAGGTAGGACACTTTTATAGAAAGATACATATGATGAAGAGGAAAAGATAAATAAATTATGCAGCAGATAAAGCATATCTTCTTCGTCACACATCTAAAGCATCACACCAGATGAAATTTTGGCTAATAGCCATGAAGTCCAGAAAATGAGTTCCATATAGAGGATGGAAAAAATATTTACCAACGTTTACAGAAATTCACATCACAGAATTTGCCACATATTCATACTAGAAGTAAACTTAACCAATGAAACAGAGTTGCAACAAACAGCGCCTTTAGAAGAAAAATTATAGCTCCACTCCTTTGTTTTCCCAGGCCAATCTACAGCACTATAAAACATTATGCCAAGAAAGAAACAAGATATGCTGGGGATCCCACTATCCTTTATCAGGCCATAAGCTCCCAATTCTTGTGCATGTTGCAGGGAGAATACTCCTACTTACTGTTGGACACAGACTTATGTGGAGCCCCTAGATGCACTAAGGTGAGTTTTATAGATAGCAATACTATAATATACTAATACTGAAATACTTTTGAGGTGGCAAAGGCAGTACTTAGTTAAGATAGATACTCCAAACCTAAACATCAGGACCACATTAAACACAGATAGCAAATATATTGTTGGTTGCTTCTGTGCATTGGGCATCCAAAGATCCCAAAGCTCTCCAAGGGCTTCTGAGTAGTGGACAAGAAGTGTAGAACCTGTGGAATAGAACTAACTGGAGAGAAACTTCTGCATATCCAGTTCTAGATCTGCAAGGTTTCAAATTTCCAGCAATGAATATATCATCAAAATTAACCTTCCAGATTAAATTTCCTGGAAATGCTAAAATATGCTGCACTAGAAGCAGTTAATGCAAATAAATAATGCAAGTGGTGAATACAAATAACCTAAAGCCAGTATTTCTCAATTTTCATCTGAAAGACCACCTAAAGTTTTGAAATGGATACTCCAGTCCATCTTAAGCAGTATAGGTATGTTGCTTCTCATTTCTAAGCAAAATTAGGCCCTGCTTTGAATGTTCAAATGTACTTTCTCTGTTTTAACTGATGAACCTATAAATTTCCTGGACGATTTTTTTCCCTTGACATCACAGTTAAATTATAATGCTTTAATAACCCCAGCACACAAAAAAATGCTGCTTTAGACAAAGAAAGACTGTAAACTTTATGACAAACTTAGTGCGCGATTGATGGATGACAACATTCAGCATTTTTTTTCTTATGAGCAGCCTTTAAAAACATCTTTTCAGTTGGAATAATTTTGGAGTTTATGTAAGCGGTAACAGCAAAACTAAAGTACATCCAGGACAGGGGAAATGTATTATTTTTACTTTTTAGACAAAAGGAGTGTCCAAATACCACATATATACAAGATGTAATATATTCATTATACTGTCACTATTTTCAACTGGACGGTAAGGCTATGCATGTGTATCTTTTTCCTCCTCAGTCCTTAGGACTTTGGGGTTGCCACTGCTGCTGTCATTTGAAATACGAATGCTGTTACAGATCTAGGATTTCAGTCCTTCATTGGAGAAAGTGCTTTGGAAATTTCTAACCCACTTACCTGGAAGGGACATTCTTAATCAAATGAAGCTGAAGACAACAACTGGATGGGAAACTGGAAATGTTTGAATGTTTGAACTCTGTCAATGGCCAGAGAACTTTACATTTCCCACCTGTCTTTCCTATATTGCAGTTCTCCATGCTAGTGTTGAACCAAATCTGAGGAGGGGAATGATGTTATTTTTACATAGAAATATGCATCCTTCTGAGTTTCAGCTTCACATTTCTCTGAAGAAAGACTGGATTATGTGATTTAATTCTACAGGCAGCTGAGAGTAAAATCTTTTTCTGTCATGCTTCATTGTGAATGACAATGCTTATAATATCTCTGTAAGATGTAATTTTTTCATGCCAATAGAAATTTGATATTCATAATCTAAGCAATAATTATCCTTTGTAAATGCCCTTGTTTTTGGCTGCAACTCCCATTATGGTTGTTTCAATTCACCATCTTCTGCCTGTAGAAAGAAGAAATGCAGCTATTTATTTCAATAAAGAGAGGAGAAAAGAGATTTTTGTTTTATGGAAAAAATGTAAAAAGCTGGAGAGGTTAATACAATTAGCCTAGTGCTTGAGGTCTTTCCTATCTTTGAATTTATTCCTAGAATTTTGTAAAAAACCAAAAATGTATTTATATCAAAGAGGGGGACATTCTAAATCTTCCATATATATTTTCATTTATTTGTTGCACTTTTAGCTGTTTAATTGTAGAGGGTGGATTATATAACTTCCTCTTTTAGTAGATTCTTCACTGAAAATAGTTTACTTGCTTGGAGAAAGGCAATTGACTTTGATTTATAAGCCCTAACTAAAAGGCATGGCATCACATTGTTCTGTATGTGTATAAGAACCCATTCATACAGAATATGGGGCAGGGGAGGGAAGGGATTTCCTTTTAACTGCTATCAAACCACTGTCCTAAAGCCCAAGGACTCTAACTTGATATTTTTAGCATTACAGATGCATGTAGCTTTGTCTTGTCTTCTTACATTGTTCAACTTAAGGCTGCAGGGAAAGCATACTCTGCTTATTGTCCAGCTGCTAAGATGTACTTGCAGCTATAGGTTCTTTGCAAGCAGGCTTAACTCCTACTTCTCTTTTTTATTTATTACCATGAGTTATTGGGAAGTGGGCTTTTACACCCATCCAGAATACTTGTGCAAATTAAAAGCCCTTTCAATCCAGCAAACATGATAGGCAAGTGGACAAGAAGTGGCCTTCCACTGACCTACAGCAGAAGATCCCATAGTCAGATATGTCTTCCATACCCCTGTCTCTCCCAAGCAGGCAGCTTCCAAGGATACTGTGACAACAGCTTTGGTAAACCTTCTAGTCCTCTTTTGTTTTTCCTTTGTTAGAAAAGCAAAAGCTCTGAAAGAAGCAAAAAATGTGTACAGTTTACACAGAGAGAAAGAAAGAATCCCGTCTTTCATCCATCATAGAGATTGCTGTGCTAAGGTTCACTCAGTATTAAAAAAGTGTACAAAGCAAGATATCTGGAACAGTCACTTCTCTAAGATTAACTATAAGTACATGTCCTGCTGTTTCTCTGATACAAAACCATAACAAACCTTCCTCTTTTCCTCTTAATGTATCTCAAATGTCAAATAAGGGGCAAACTTAACAGAAATATGAGAAAAAGTGAACAAGGTGACTATCATAATTCTCTGATAAGTCATATTAGAAGGTCCTCACCTCTTAGACGAGTACCTATGTGTGCTTAAATTGGTCTCTTTCCACAGCAGAGTTAAAGATGGAGCAATTGTAATAACTAGTAACACAGTACCATGAAAATATTTTACATACAATTCACAAATACAATGTTTATATTTAGTACCTTTAGCTGAATGCACAAGAGTGGTGTTTCAAAAAGGTGGTGCTCCTGAGGATTTTGTCCACATCCTAGCTTGCTAGGAAAAGGGGAGTGGAGGTGTTGGAAATAAGTAAAACCCCCGCAAACTACTTTCGTTTGCTGGAAAGTGCCAACACCGCATCGTCCATATTTTATTTACTTCTTCTGTGCAAAGTGATTTCCCCTGGTCACAACAAAGATTTCAGCATCTGTCCCCAGACCCTTACTTTCTTAGCTCTTTCTGTCAGCTGAGCCCCCTTCCAGCAAGCGAATACTTGGTCACTAATCAGTCCCTTTTGTGGGCTTGCAAGCTGTGGGAGGTTTGCCCAGCAAAACATACACTACAACTGTTCCTCTGCCTCACCTGATCCTGATTTGCACCCAGTGCTCCTACTGCTGTTGATTAACTGATTTTTTTTTTTGTATGTCACTTGTTAATTGCCATAACTATACATTTTGTTCTCCTGAGGGAATATAACTTGACAGAGAGCATTGTGCTGTGTGACACAACTTTGTCCACGTAGCACACTCAGGAAAATTCATCTGAGTTATCCTTTTAAGTGAATCAGTTGAGCCACATTAAAAGCCTAGCATAAATGCAACTTAAATTTGTTTTTGTTTAATTTGCTGCGGTAACAAATTAAACAAAATTAAATTAGGCCATGTTTTTTGTTTGGTTTATTTTTTTCTAAACATGTGGCTTAACAGGGCTGTAATATGGTTTACCTGAGGTACTTTCAGTTTATAACTCTGTTAGCCTGCACAGGCAAACCTTTACAACCCAGGAATTAATGTTCAAGACAATTTTCCTATACACTCAAGTTCAGGATTAGGGTGGCTTGCTTGATGAAACAAATCAGAGCAGCCAAAGCACTACTTTCAATTTTCCATCCACATACTGCTCCCTGGACCTTCAATTCAACTGCAGTGGGGACTAAATTCCCAAATTCTACATGCCTGTCTTTGACCTCTACTTTCTGAGGCACTCTCCTCCTGGAAAAAGATACATATCAAAACAAATAAGCTTCAGAAATGAGGGGAGAAAGCAGGAATAAGCTCAAGAAGTGAAATGCAGCCCAAAAGTAAACACAGGTAAAAGAAACACATCATTTCCATGGGAAGCAGAAACAGGGGGATCCTGTCTATGCTGTTTTAGTTAGACTGAACTAGAGGGTACAACATGGTGAAAGAAGAGAGGGGATAGAGGAGAGTCATTAGCTATCTTCATACTTACTCTTCAAGTTAACAAATATACTCATTTATGAAAAACATGAGGTGGCCTGGGAAGAGCTCCAATAAGCAGCAGGCAGGGAGCCAGCTTTGGCTTGAAACACTTACTGAAATGACCCAAAAAAAAAGGAAAGAAGGAAAAAAAAAAAAAGCCCTAAAGTAAAATCAAAATCCCTAATGCACTTGAGAGCAACGATGTCAATCTGCAAGTTCATTACAGACAAGAACAAGTCCCCACTGGTGAGAAGGGCTCAGATACGAAACATCTTTTACAATGACAAAGTCATCAAAAGCCAGAAGCATCCATTCCTGTGACTCCACTGCTTTTTGAAGAGAAGGTGCTGGGCTGCAGGGGGAGCTGTGCACCCATCGTTTTGGTGCAGCAGTAGATGAGGTAATATGTTCTTCCAAATTACAGTGGCATCTCAGAGGTATGTTCTCTGTAGCAGTAGCGATATACAGACTCCATAGGGTTCACTGGAACCATACTGTTGGTTACATTTCTGTCTGCGTTTATTCTGTAGGTTTTCCAGCAGCTCTCCAAGCGCTACACTGAAAGTGTGCTCCTGGACACTACAGTTTTGTCTCATGTGTACATACTGTTTAATTTAAACTGATGCAGTACTTCCATTCTCATTTAGCACAGAAAATCCATCCTTATTCCAAGGTGAAGAGCCAAGCACTAAAAAAACAACGTGGTTTAAAAAACTTATTAACTAATGACTACACCTTCTTACAGATTGCAGCTAAATGCTTCTACCAGCACAAAGAATGTCCAGTATCTGTTTAATTTACCATCAGTATCAAGGAGATAAAATGTCTAAAAAATGTTTTATGGTCAGTCAATTCAGAAGAAGTTTAGTTTTTTAGTATTCATATGGCCAACATACGAGTGGTAAACAATGTTGCAACAGATATGCACCAATATTACACATATTTGGAAACTAAAAAGGTTTTACAGTGACCTCTGAGTCTGTAGAACATGCAATGTGCCTGCTAATTTTGTCAATCTAAATTTATGCTTGATTTAAATAAAAATGGAGCAGAGAAGCCAGTTTAAAAATGCAGTATACATTCCATTTAATAGATAACTAAGCACACTGGGTGTATTTGATTCAGTAAATTCTGGTAAGATATGCATTTCCTGCAACACTCAAGGAATATAGGTCAGGATGTAAACCATAAAAAGAATATAGGCTATAAATAGGAAGTGAAAATGCTCATTATGGTTATTCCTATCTAAATTCATGGTGATTTACGACTTGCATATATTCATTTAGGGACTGACTTGGTAGCAGTGGAGGCTATTTTAAGTGATCAGCTCTACAGCCACACACCTAGCATGCAAGAGCTTGGATATGGCACTGATGATAACTAATAGAAAAACCTGCCTGCAACAGCATTCATCAAAGCGAGCAGTCTTGACAAGACCTCTGAAATCCCCTGCTTCAGCTGAGAAAAAAATCTTGCTCTTTCCTGGGCTATGCTAAAGCACAAAAACAGCAGTTTGACCATATATTTTCAGCCAAATGTTGCTAAACAAGAAAGCTAATAATTTAGTCATTTTTTGGCAATCTGCTTTGAGCCAGGCCTAACAGGAGGCTGAAAGCAATTCTGTGATTATACCAGGAAAAACACGAGTAAATACTCTAGAAAAATTATTAATGGAGTAGAAGAGGCATTACAGCTGGACTGGTTCTGCAAGCTTATTTTTCAAGGTCTCTATGTTGCCCAGTTGTTATTTAAAGTCACTTGGCAAAATTTTGTTTTTACCAGAGATCACAGAAGACTAATTTATTGACCATTTCCTCCGCTTTATTCTCAAAAGCAATTTTCCATAGTAGTTTAGTTCCAGCACTGTTAAAAATATTTATTTAGAGAACCAACAATGAAGAAGATGTACAGAAACTATTAAACATAAATATAAATCAACATGAGCAGGTGAAATAAATTTAAAAAGGAATTAGTAGTGCAAGCACGACATTCACATTTAAATATGAGAACATGGAGGTAACTTTTTAAAATGGTTTACACCATGAATACCTCTCACCTCCATCAAACTACGTTCTGGAGTCTGATGATTAAAAACCTGTGAGGGCATCTCAGTCTCAAATCTGGTTGCTAGGTGAAAGTATCGCCTCCTTGGCTTGTATACACTTGAGCGTATCAGTCATTGTGGTATGGACTATAAAACTACATCTTACTTCTAGTTCAAAGAGAGGGGGAGAAACTGCTTTGGTTTCTTAAATATTAGCCTTGAAAACACTATCTTTTGGTTCTTGGTTATACCTTGGGTTTGTGGAAGAAGAATATACACCACAGCCCAAAAGCAAAATACAGATTTCGTATGTTTCTCTTAACTGAGAGCAACAAGAACACAAGCTGGTGTTATACAGTGTTTCTTCAAGAGAAAGCTAATTCTTTTGATTCAAACTTCCAATACTTTGCAGCAATAGAGCATCAAAGTAGCATGTGTAGCATATGTCCATAAGAATTGATCAATGCTGCTCTGACAAGCAGCAAAGGGCCATATTCTCTCATGACTCCACCAGAAACTCCTTGAAAAATGAGCAGAAATAGAAAATATTGGCTTACCATATAAGAAACCTCATTCTTACTTCCGAAGTATTTCCAGAAAAATAAAACTGTAAGAGAAGAAAAATGTTTTAGTTAGCATGAGTATTGAGACTATTTTTTTTGGTTTTACAGGTAGACCATCTACTTCTACCAAAAATCCTAGATATTTTCAAGACTAGTTTTTGGTGCAACAGTCAAGAAGAAACACATGGGAAAGCATTTTAAGGTTGACCTGTTTGAAGTTCAGAGAGAAGTAATATACTAGTTTACCTATCAACTTCAAACAGCTACTCTCTGTGCACACATGTTGTGTTTATCACCACGGTATCTTGGCAGTTATTCCAGCCATATGTCCACGATGTCCTCATAACTTTGCATACAAATGCTGGGATTTCACGCACAATTTATGAACTTACATTTAACAGTGTGAGGCAGCAAGGTTCTCTTTATTAAAGTGGGACAGAAACACTGCCACAGCTTTTACCTTGTACATGTATGTGCATCTATATTGCTTTTACCATTCATCCCCACCTGGACTGTGAGGATAACTGGGGACAAGGTGATTGTCCACAATGATACATCTTTTTAGCCAGGATAATCTCTACATATACATATGTAACCAGAGAAGGGCAACATTAATGTAATCAGAGAAGGGCAACATAGCTGAAGATCTGGAGCACAGATCTTAGGAGGAGCAGCTGAGGGAACTGGAGTTGTTTAGTCTGGAGAAGAGGAGGTTCAGGGGAGACCTTATCATTCTCTACAATTAACTGAAAGCAAGTGGGAGAGAGGTGGGGTGTCAACTTCTTCTTCACTGAAAGGGCAGTCAGGCATTGGAATAGGCTCTCTGGGAAGCGGTAGAGTCACCATCCCTGGAAATGTTTCAAAAGGCATGTGGATGTGGCTTACCTCAAGGGAAGCCACATGAGAACTTAGTCTGTTCAGCCTAAAGAGCAGGAGTCTGAGGGGAGACCTCACGGCAGTCTACAACTTCCTTGTGAGGGTAAGAGAAGGGGCAGGCACTGATCTTTTCTCTGTGGTGACCAATGACAGAAACTGAGGGAATGGCCTGAAGTTGTGCCAGGAGAGGTTTAGGTTGGATGTTAGAAAGAGGTTCTTCACCCAGAGGCTGGTTGGGTGCTGGAACAGGCTCCCCAGAGAAGTGGTCCCAGCACTAAGCCTGACAGAGTTCAAGAAACATTTAGATGATACTCTCAGGCACAAGGGGGATGGTCCTGTGCAGGGCCAGGAGTTGAACTTGATGATCCTTCTAGGTCCCCTTCAACTTGGCATATTCTGTGATTCTGTAAATTTGTTCCATTTATTGCTCAACTGTTGGTATGTGCATGCTGTTCAAGTACCCACCATTACTTCTCTGATCCCAGCTCTTTCTACACCAGCTATAGTCTTTACAGCTGAACAAACTTCTGTTCTCCCTCAGACCACAACTCACCCTTTGTATGGTAGGAATTGGCTTCAATTGCCTCAAAAAATGTACATGCTGCTAATGAAAGCTTCTAGTCTTCTGCCAGACCTCCTCACACCTGCAGTCGTGGCTCATGATCTTACTTGACATTGTAAAGCTTTCCAAAGCTGGAGACTTACCACATTTTTGGAAGTGACAAAAACCTAACCCACCAACCACATACATAAACAACCGTGCCAGCCTGCTGAGCAGTCCCTACTTGATGCAAGCCAACTACTCCTGCTGCTGTATCAGGGGAAATCAGGGAAGGTTACACACATGTCCTCCCTGTTCCTCTTGTGAGTGACAAACCAGGGAATGAGTCACAGAGCCTCACGGCTAATTTTCCAACAAGGATGTTGAAGTGGCTTACAGAGACTGCTCTTTTACTAGCATCCCAGACCTTGCCACACTACCATTTACTGTGGCTTGACAGGTGCTCTGCAGCTGCTGCTGCTGCTGTACATCAAGGAAAAATATCCTGCCTTTTGTGTACCAGATGAAGAAAATGTAGCATATGAGACATAATAAGAGATTCCCTGTGGTCTCTGCAGAGACCAGGAATGCCATAATGGTACTCCAGTTAATACATGGGGAGAGAGAAAGAGCAAGAGAGCACTGGAAAAAAAAATACAAAAAGAGTCAATGCATCTAATATATTTCCGAAAATGATCACTTTCCTGCAAGATGTGTGAGAATAACAGCTTTAACTGGCTGTGTAATGCCCCTTCACAGAGAAAAGGCCAATCTGCCTGACAGATGACACTGAGCCCAGAAATGCACGATCATTCTCCTTGGGCCACGAAGCAATAAAGTCTCTACACTAGAGTTACTGCTGCTATTAAGAGTAGGTGCAGGTCATTAATTATATTCAGAGCAGAAACAGAAGTAAAGGCTGTGGTATAGCAGCATAATAGTATTGAGACTGCCATTTCCCAGCCCAAGCTCCTCTAATTAAGTCCCAGCTGAGGTCTCCCTTTCAGGTCCATAATCTCAATTTCAAAGGGAGAGGAGGAAATAAATAAATAAATAAATGCAAACAGTTTAATTCCTCTCCAAGTAAGGAAGACCAGATATTTGATATTTGGGGGGACTTGTGGGTATTTTTATTTGAGGAGGTTGGTTGATTGTTTTTATCTAATCTGCTGGCTTGTTTTGAAATTAATCAATAGCATTCATCATAGAATCTTTTTTTTTTAATGCTATGAGCTGTCTACAAATTTCTGCTACTTGGTACTTTTAATGAAACTTTATTCCCTAAAAAAAAAAAAAAAAAAGAAAAGAAAGAAAAAAAAAGCTCCAAGGACAAATTTGGGAAAATTTTAAAATTTATTTTTTTGAATCTACATACTCAATGACATTTCACACTAAAAGTTTTAAACCTGCTCCTATTTACTTTGCTTTGTGAGGAAAATGTTAGGAATCCCACTCCTCCTCATTTGTCCATTTGCAAACAGACTACTTGAAATTTAAAAAAAAAAAAAAAAAAGGATTTACAAAGGTGAGCACAATTGAAAAGAAAGAAATCGCAATGTTTGGAAAGAAGACAGTCCTTTTTCTTTCTAATATTTTCATTTTACTTCTAATTTCTTGAGTAGAGTCCATTCATGAGTGTACCTTGCTTGCTGTTTGCTTCCTTTTTAAATTTAAACTAATTTTCTTATAGGTTTATATGTACAATCCTCTTGGGATTGTTTAAGAAATCATTAGTCAATGGTTTATACAATTGTAATTTCATTTTCCCAGGTTATTAAAAACTAATAGCATGCCATTTAATTAGACTAGATGATGAGAATCCACTTAAAAGTTAGAAATAGACTTACAAACTGCCTATCTTCTTCCTTACTGCCAAGCAAGACTTTATAATAAATCATTATTCCTTTTAAAGGAATTTAGTAATTACAAAGGGCTTCATTCTTCATTATATTCACTATAGCTATACATATTTCCATAAGTTATCTCATTTATTTGTACCAAGAGTACTATTAACTATAGCATTAATTTATCAGAGCAGGGTATGGAAAGAAGCCCTTAGAGGATATTATTGGTAATGGTCTGAAACAAAGCTTTTTGCTTATCCGAAGAATGAACCTCAGCAAGAACCCACAGGATTAACTCTCACACCACAGCATGGCAATGCTCCCGAGTCCTGAGCAAGGGGACAAGCTATGAGTCAAAAGACCCATTCTGTGGCCACGTCCTTTCCAAGTGCAGTTCCTACGCCGAGCCTTGAACTTAGATGACAATTACTGTCAGGTGGAACATAGGCCTCTTTCCCTAAGGAAATGAACCGAGACCTCCAATTTATTTCACATAGCCTATTTAAGAGCCATTGGATAATAATGGCCTTCAGTCACTGCCAATCCATGGTGAATTTAAAATAGTGACTTAGAGGGGAAAGGTTCTATGTCATAACCCCCTAGGCACACGATCCCCTCTATCATGCCATTTATTAGGCAGCTTGGCTCTGACACCACATTTATTTATACCATAATATTTCATGCTATATAGTCCGAGGTTAATAAAGTCTCATTAACAGCTGCTGGTAGTCCCCATAAAGTTCTCCAAGATTTCATTTTCCAATAATGGCAACGAACCTCACAATTTATTTTCCCCTTACCCAATCTCAAAGACCCTACAGCAAAGGCTAAAATGGAGGAAAGAAGGAGAACAGGAAAAAAAAAAAAAAAAAGGAAAATAGTTATCTGTGGTAGAATGAGGAGAAGGCAGAGCAAAATTTGTCTCTCTAATAGGCAACTATGTTTTCCCTATGCATCAGACTATATTTCTGTTGGTAAGTCTAATACTGCTTAAAGAAAAAACATGGATAAGGGTGACAATGATTTTTAGCTGTTACCTCTTTGCTGCAAAATTCTCATTGACCTGACTTGAACCTCAGAATTTCACCTCAGACCATAAGCAGATTGCCATTTTCTGGAGTCCACTGAACTTCTGAAAGCTCAATAGCCTTTCTCTTGAGGTCTTTGATACAGGCACAAGGGCCTCTGTGACTTGGTGCTTTGATATTTCAGTTCTGAATATCACTAAAAATTGCTGATGCTCTCTAAAAGAATAAGATTTTCAAGGCATCAGGGATTGTGGGTTTTTTCTCTTGTAAAATGTATGAACATCTTACCAGGCTCTTCGGTGCTGGGGTTTCAGCAGATGTTCTCTTAACCTGTTCAATATCAGAACAGCTCTCAAACATCCAGAAAAGAAAATAAACTAGTATATCAACTGAAGAGACTTATTAAAATCTGTGTATTTAAAAAAAAAAATACATTGGAGCTTTTAAAAGGGAATAAAACAGGCACAGCTGAAAGAGTGTGCCAGAAGGTCATGGCAGAAATAAGATGAATATACTTTTTACATATATGAAGGAGGAGAACAGCATATTCAGCACAGTCACTTGTGAGGCAGGACAAACTCTGCCTCAATATATCTGTGTCATTCTGAAATAAATACACAATGTCTCTTCATCAAAGAAATCACAGTTCAAATAAAGGAAACGGGAAGAAGTGGAAGACAAGAGAAGGGATGAGCAAGAAAATTATTTGTCTACGTTCGACTTGAAACCTTCTGGCTCCTATTCTACACGAAACC